GATACATTAAAAAACTCTTTTTTATTAATTTTTTATCAATATTTTCTATATATTTAGAGCTTTATATTAGTAGTATCATTATAATATTTAGGGAAAATTCCGTGATTAGTATATAGAATAAGTACTGAGTTTTGACAATGGATGATCATAAAAATTTAGAGATAAATAAGTAGTTAGTTTTAATTGATTTAGATTTGTCTATTTATTACTTATGGTATTTAAAATTAAATTTATTTTGTTGACAAATCTGTCATTTATGATATATATCATATTTATACCAATTAAAATTAAGTTAAATAATTTATTTGGGTTGTTTGATATATTATTAAAATTTTAATTGGTTTATATTTATTCATTGATTGTTTTGAGAACTTTAAACTAAGATTTTAGTTGAAAAATGTATTATTCAAGGCATATAGAATATTTTTACCAATTAAATTTAAGCTAACTAACTTATTTAGATTATTTAATATATTATTAAGATTTTAATCGATTTAAAATGTATTAGAATATGAAAATATTTTTGAATATATTATTAGAAAGTATGCTGTAAATTGAGATTTTTACAATGTTAGATAAAAATGATATTTTTATAATTTAAAGGAGTTATTTGGGTAGAGGAAAAAATTGTTATTTGAAGTAAGAATTTTTGGATAGTAAATATATGTATATATACTATTCTATGTAATTTAAGTTAATTATTTGTGTATATATTAAATTATATCTACATTATTTGTAGATTATCTTATACTTCAGAGTTTATAATTTGTGCTCTTATTTCTTAAGCTGTGAGGTTAAGCTTGAAATAGAGGTAACTGGGATTAATTTATTTTACATACATGCTTCGGATTGTAAGATGTTTATTATGTTTTTATTTTTTCAAATTAATTTGTGAAAGTATGCTTGTGAATGAAGTATGTATTTTTTTTTATGTGACAAATTTTGGTGAAGTGGGAAGTATGTTGATTTAATTATGCCTGAGTTGTGTTTTATTGGAAATGATGTTTTCTTGTGGTGTTGAATTTAATATACTAATATTATGTTATTAAATAAAATGAAAATATGTTGTACTTTGTTTGAACTTATATCATCTTACTCTGAAAAACTATGATATTTTTAATATATATTGTGACCATGCATGGGGTTCACATGTGGAGATTGAGATTTTGATATGTGGAGGATAATTGTTTTCAAAGTCAGTGTAGCATGCCTACACTACTGATCCTAGTGTTTGGCTTTTTTGTTAGACCCTTGTAATTCTTTCTTTTCCTTGGCCCGGAATTGAGAATGAGCTCTTGGGTGGACACATTTTGCACCATAGTCCATTCTTGGACGGTATAGGTACAGGAGGGAATTTGCTGCTTGATATGAGTGGGGTGACCTTTGGCCGAGTTACTCAGCACAGAAAGCCCGAGTCCTTGTCAAGGAGCCATAAAGAGGAGTATGGTGATGGGAGGGCATACCTCATTGTGTTATTGCATATATGTACTTTTGTATAAATTGTGTTGTGGATGGTGAGACATGCTCCTTTCACGTGGTTGTATCTCCTAAGGCATTATTTATTACTTGAATTATATTTAATTACTACTTCACCAACTTGCCATCCTACTTATATATGCCATGAATTAATACTTGGTTACTAGGACTTTATGTCTCACCCTACTATTCATCAATGCTTTTTAAGAGAGCCATCTAGTTTGGCTTGGTGCGATGGGAAGCAACTAGAGGCATAGGCGAGTATAGCTTAGTAGTCCTCTTTTGGTTTGGGCATGTGATGTTATGTATATTGCCATTTAAGGCCCATGACTTTGTTGACATATACTTCCTTTTGTTTGGTTGTTGGATCACTATATTTGATGGAGTGCTGTTAGAATGTCTGGAGGCTGTAAGACTGTGCTGTATGTGTTACTCTTTATGTGTATGACTTGTGGGCCGGGTTGAGTACCCTGTGTTTCTTAGGTCTTAAGTTTTTGTGGGATGAATATTATATTGTGCTTGTGGACGGTTACTGTGCCCTCAGTTCTTGTTCTACATATTGTTAAACTCATGGGTGGTTTATGTATCTTGAGCCTCTTGGGATGTTTTCAAAATAAGACAAACTCTTTATAATCATGGTAGTATTTTAACGCTCTAACTCAATTCTTTTTCTACAATGGCTATCATTTTAAAAATAATTTTATAACTATGTATTAAGAAAAGGTCTTTTCAGATTTGCCTTGGGATGTTGATGATAGCTGGACCATAGTCTCTGTCAGTGGACATATATAGGGTATCTTGGGTAGAATTAGGGATATGAAGATTTAGAGAGTGATTTTGTACTCTATACACCATTCGATGATGAAGAGTGGCCATAATAGCTAGGGGATCCTGTTCAGCTCCAATGATCTGGATTTGAACTTTCAATCTCTAGGAAGTCGTTTGATTAGAGAGCATAAAGTTAAAGTTTGGAGCAATGGTCATAATAATACTGCCGTTACTGAGTGTAGTGAGAAGGGTTCCTATTAAGGCATTTTGGTAGGATTTATAAGAAGTGTCCAAGAGGGCTACTCTTACAGTGGCAAGGATACCTTTTCTTCCATGTAGGGTAAGACCAAAATGTACTGCACCTATATATAGATGTGTATATCCTTACTCTATGTATAAATCAATAATGGGTTGAGGTATCTCAAGGGTGACATACTGTTTAGATGTAGTTGCAGGAAGACCACATTGGTTGAGACAGGAACTTTGAACAAGTTCTTTGACAGTAGGAGTAAATTTGGTCACAAGAGATATGATGGGTCCGGTAAAAGATCTTTGACGATGATAGAGGGAGTAAGGACTGATGAGGGTAGTTCCGTGGATTGGATGCAGGCATCTTGTGGTACATGGGTAATTTCTATGACTTTATCAACCTTATTGTTGAGTATTTAGTGAAGCGAAGAAGGAATGAGGTCAAAAGTAAGAGATGAAAAAAGATGAATAGGTTCTGCAGAGGAGGATTCACTCATGATTAAAATATTCTTTCTTACTCACTTAATCTAAGATTCAAGTATGCTCTACACTTGCCTCATCTAAAGATCCTGTTTATCAGAAAGAATCCCACCATGATGCTATGGAATAGTCCTTTTAGGCAGAAGAACTTTAGTTTGAAGTTTTACAGGTTTAGGTCCTAATATGGTTTATGTAAGGCCAGGAGAACTGTTTGTTAAGACCTTGACATGATAAGACCTGTAAATCTCTAGACTGAGTCTTAGAGGTTTGAGGAGACTCACTCACATGGTATCAAAACCTATTCGCCTTTTCCTTAGATATAATAAATAAGAGAATAGAATAAGAAATATTAAAAAAAAAAATCTCTTTTCATAGATATTGCATTTTTTAAAATGTATGTATGTATGTATCAATATTATATTTATATTTTATTTAATTGAAAAATAGAAAATGGCTAGTGTTTATCTCTAACAGCTATATTTTTCAATTGGTTATAAATAAACCACTTCAAGCTTGCTTCGTATGTAAAGCTCGAATGATTAAAAAAAAGAAGCTAAAATGTACCTATTGTCCGTGTACACTTATATATACTTGAAAATCATCATTTATTGAGCCGTCAAATGTTAATATATATCTCTATATATCTTTTGAGTATTAGTGCTTAATTGTACTCATTCTGCTCTTTGAGAGAGTTTATTGAACTGAATTCTTCTTCAATAATAATCATTCTTTGTATATTGTAAGGGTGAGAGATCAAGGGTGTGGTATCCCTTATACAGCTTCTCAAGAGTGATGTACTATCTTTGGTCCTAATTATAATACCTCGTTACCGGAGGTAGTATCTCTTTATAGAAGAAGCAGTTTCTATTAAAAAGAAGATTGCAGTTGTTTACAAATAACCAATTTAAACTTATGAAGAATGATAAACAAATTTCAAAAAATTGCTTGATTGTGTATTCATGGTTATCCTAGTATATAAAACTTTACATATAAATTAATCATAAAGCTATTAGTTGTAAGTTATAATTGCTAGATTTTATTAATTAACTGAAGTTGGTTTATGTGATTCACCCTTGGAAAAAAATTAAAGAGTTTGAGTCTTGTATATATAAAAACAAAAACTAGTTGATAAAAGAGCTTTATGCAATCTGAATCAAAACTAGTTGATAAAAGAGCTTTATGCAATCTGAATCATTAAAATTGGTGTGGTTTTGTTTTGTTTTTTTTTTTGACAACGAAAATAAGATCGGGTGGCGTTTTGAGGATTTGAAATTCACCTAATTAACATCACTCAATGTTGGCCATTTCAATTCTTCTCTATATAGTTACCAATTACCAATGGGACCTAATGTTGTTTTTTCCCCCCAGTAAAATGGTAAAAATAATAATTGAAAGAAATTTTCTAAGAAATTTTGTTTGTTTGAATATAATAAAAAATTGGATGCAAAACTTTATGAAATTTTGGAAGAAAAAAACCGAATGGTTACTTGATTCTCTATATTTCTCTTTTTTATATAATTATTTAACACATAATATTATTGGGTTAGATTTGATCATTAAGTTTAATTTGACTGACGTGATAAGTAGTTTCACCCCATAAAAGAGAAAGTATAAATTCGAATGTTAAGAAATATACTTGTGGTAAAGGCTTTAACCCTAAATACTCTCAGTTTGATAGAAATTAATTTTAAATCCAAAATGAGTTAGATAATGACACAAGAAAAAAATAGGAACGTGTGTGTGTGATGCATCTTGATATGAAAGCTGACAATTCATATATAACAATCAATGGATAGGATCTAAAAGTTTGGTCAGTCAAAAATAGAGATTTGATTATCACGAAAAGTGATGAAATTACAAGTAAAAGTGAGAGAGAGAGAGAGAGAGAGATTGCGTATAATTAAAAAGAGTTTAAAGTAAAAACAACTCAATTTGAAACTCCTAGATAATCAAAGTGAATTTAACCATCAAGTTTAAAAAAGAACACCATTGTATTATTCGATAAATATTCAACCTAATTTTTCATTTCAGTTGTTGGTTCCAGTTGCATCTTTCACTGCATCTGCAGCTCCCTGTGCCTTTGCCTGCAGTTGTTGACCTCCCTATAAACACACATGCACACACAAACATTAAGCCTATTATCTATTTGGAATTAATATCCATAATGTTTATATAATTGATTAAGTTCAAAGTAAATGATGTAATACCTCTTGCATGGATTCTTTTGCAGATTGTGCTGCATCTCTAGCCTTATCCATCATGCTGCTTGCCTTTTCCTACATCATTTAATTAATTCACCCATAATTATTATTAGTAATACTCCTCTGGTTCTTGATATAAAACCTATTTAACTAATTTGATTAGATTAAGGAAGTTATGTAAGTTAGTTAATTATAAGAAATATGACATGTTTTTCCTAAAACATCATAATCATCTTTCTTAATACCTTTCTTCCCTCTTCTACTTGATTATGATTAAGAAAGTACCCATAAGGATAATTTAGAAAAAATTAATAAATATAAGAAATAAGTCTTATATTTAAGATCAAAATTAATTCAATAATTAGGTCTTATATTAAGGACTGGAGGAATATATTAATTAATATGCTAATTAATAAATGATTGAGAAAACTTTGAAGGGTAATAGAGAGACTATAATCAATGAAGTTAGCTACCTGAGCTTGGCCTTTGGCTTGTCCGGCATTGTAACTTGCCTTGTTGGAGTCCATTTTCCTGAGAAAATTTATGTGATGAGCTTGGCAAAGAATTAATGAATAGTTAGAACTGTTAATGATGATCATGAGATTGTAACAATGCAAAGATGAAGATTGAGTTGATATATACTTACACTGTCCCATGTCTCTCTATGGCACAGAGCCACTTGTCTCGTTGACCAATGGATCTTGTGGACGAAACCACGAGATTTCTTCATCGATCCTACCTTGTAGGTTATAGGAAAAGACTAGGTTTTCTGTCATCAATTATTCCACTTTCAGATTTTAATTCTCATCAGTTTAAATTTGTTAGAAAAATCTCAGACATTATGCCGCCTTTGTCGTGCACACGTACACACACAGGGAAATGATCTCATGGCTAACATGATTTAGATTTTTTCTTGTTGTTTTTGCATTTATTTTCTTGGACAAAGATAAAATAAAAGTGATGGATGGCAAAAGCATGTAAAATAATTCACTGGGAGAAAAGGGACTAATATAATTTATGGTCCTTAAAATTCAGGCCTATTTTAACTTTGATCTCTCAAATATTATAAAAGCATTAAAATAGTAATGTGGACTCACTAAATGATACTCTTCCTATCCTAAAAGCATAGCTTTTCCCAGTAACCACTTCATCTTCTTGAGATATCAACTCACTCCACCATCTTCCTACTTCTCCATCAGGGACTAATTTTCATGCAATACGCACTGTGTTGTCGCTGAACAACTTAAACAAATGAGGGAATTATCGCTTTCGTCCTTCAAAGATACATTTTTTTTTTTCAATTTAGTCCCCATCTATTCTTCAAGCATGCTTTTTCAATATTTTCGTTGCGGGCACGAAGGATTTTGTCAATATACTCGAGTGTATGAGTAGGAATTAGAAACTCCTCAGGAATCTTCAAACAAAATAAAATAATGATAATAGACATATGCGTGAGATTTCAACATTCAATTACGTTGTAGAGGGTCATACTCCCTCAGCAAGAATTATAGAACTAAGTTGCGAAGATTAAGAATATTAAGTTAGTTATTTATAAAAATATTTGAGTTGATTTTCCTAAAACGTCATTATAATAATTTGGACTGAAAATTACTCCATTAATAAAAAAAAACCTTCTTATTATGTATGTGGTGTTAATAAGGAAAATTTGAAAAAGAAAATTACAATTTTCGGAGAGTATAAATTGAAGCTAGGTAAAATCAGAACAAGCTCGTCTACTAATTTTTGCATTCTCTATTGCTTTTTTCTTGGTATCCATGATGTCAATGGCGACAAGCTCTCAAGCAATCCTCTTTCAAGACTCTCAAGCAAGAGTTTGTTAAATAAGAAGCAATGCTTACATGGCATTTTACATGGACAAAAAAAAAACAAGAAGAAGAAGCCAAATCATCTAGCATACCTCAAATCTTTTGCCACATCCTCTATCGTTGACCAGCCACGTCAACCTTTGGATGGAGGTCTTGGTCACTCAGATGCATAGGAATTAATTAAACTTGTCATTTGTGAAAACTATAAGGCGGACTACAAAACTTTCAGACTATAAGGGCTAACATTAAAAAAAAAAAAAAAGGAAGAAAAAGTTAAGGTGTAAATCTATCCACGAAGTATTTTATTATGGGAAGCCAACACTATAAACTTTTCTTGAGTGCAAAAGTATAAATGAAATTTTTAAAATGGTGAAAAAATATCATGACCATAAAGTTAATATACGTTGACTGTTTAGCACATATAAAAGTCAAGAAAATGATGCGAAAATACACGGAAAGTTTTCAAAAGATGAAAAAATACCACAATCACGGGAAATTTCATATGTATCTTTGCATCATTTTGAAAAGTTTATGGCATATTTTTGCACCATTTTGTTAGTTGACATGTTTGTTAAACAATTAACATTAGTTGACTTAATAGCTGTGGTATTTTTGTACTACTTTGAAAACTTTGTTTGTATTTTTGCGCCCAAGAAAAGTTTATGGTGTTTGGTGCCCATAGCAGAATACTTCATGCATAGATTTGCACCTTAGCCCTATAAAAAATTATGAAAACTATAAGGATTAGTACACCTCTAGAATACACCTCTAGTCTTATTTATAAGATATTTTCAGCATCTTTTATACAAACCAAGAAAAATCTTAAATTGTAATAACTCTCTTTTAAAATATAATAACTTTACAACTTTATCCGTATTTAATATATACACTTTTAAAAAAAAAATATTCATGCTGTAATAAATGAATAACAAAATAGTATATTTATACTAAAAATTAAATAAAGTGGCTTATAAATAAAACTAAGAAAAACCTTCTCTCCCTACCTTATAAACCTTATAAATAGGATTAGAGGAGTAGGAGTGCTCAAACCTTGTACCCATCTCGGTAGTCTCATACTCGCCTTGAAATGGACCAGGACGGGACTCAGGATGACCTTAGGGACGCCTTATCCGTCCTAGTCCCAACCTCTCTTATTTTTTTTAAAAAAGCATTTTTTTCATTATTTATGTTGTTTACACCCTTCAATTTTATTTTGATACTAATATATATATATATTAGAATTTGAACTAAAATTTAGTTTATGGGTTGCGTTTTTCTTTGCTTTTAGAAAACTTTTATTGTTTTTTTTAAAATTTCATAAAGCTTAAGTGAGAGTTATCATAGACTATGTTTTTACATTTTGACTAAATTTTAAATAAGTCTTCAACTAACGTTGCTCCATATTAAGTTTCCATAGATGTTTTGGTTTTCTTTTTCTTCTTCTTTTTTTAATGAATTCGCTTCAGGTTTATGGATTAATTCAGATTGTCATATGCAATGATTTCTATCATTATTTTTGAAAGATTAATGTGTTTGAATAAATTTGCAAGCTCATCCATTTAAATTTAAAGGATATCTACCATATGCTAAATTTATTTATATACTAGTAGTTCATTTTATGTTGTTTATTTATATTTACTTCAAGTTTATTGTTCATTTTTTCCCAACAATTTACTAGCCATTTAAATGATTTACATTTGTCTCAAGTTTATTTTATATTGCTCATTTATATTTACTTGTAGCTATTTCATGCAAATTTGCTTCAGTTTTCAGGTTTTTTTTTTCTTTTAAGTATAAGTTGTAATTGGGCCTTTTTTTTTTTTGCTAACTAAATTATAAGGGCCTTTTTTAAGGGGGAAAAAAGTAGTTGATCAGAACGTTCCTGTCCCGTTCCGTCTTGGTCAGGACCTGGACAAAACTAAGATGGAACAGGACACACGTCCTATTTTTCAGGACAAAACACGGGACAAGGGTGGTGTCCGTGTCGTCTTATCTTGTGAGCACTCCTATAGAGGAGTATGTTAATATATCCTTAATAAGTACTATGAAATGTCCAAACTCAATATACTTCACACACCCTAACAAATTGAATGCCGCTTGGTTTCCTAAAAAGCTTCTCTCCACATGGGATTTCATTACCCAACGGCCCGTCTTGCCTCTCTTCTGATCTCCACTTACCCTTTTCCCTCCACCGGGCACAAGGGTTTCAGTAGCTTGCCCTTTAGATTCCGCTGGATTTAACAAATGCTTCACATTAAGGACGCCACTTTTAAAACGACCTTCGCTTGACTTCAGACCCCTCTCCTCTGGTTTGCGCTTCCCTGCTGACCAAGGTTTCCCCCAAATTGTCCACGAATCAAACGCTACAAAGTCACTGAGTGGAGCAAATTGATAAAATACAGTCAGCGAGAGTTCCACAGGCACACAAGTAAGATCATCTATACTATCAGTTCTGCAGTGTTGGTGACTAAAAAAATTATTCATGAACTTTCACTATGATACCATAATGAGTGTCAGAGACTAGTTAAAACTATTCATCAGAGCAGTTTCCTTGAAAGCTTCTGTTATTGAACTGAAACCATTCTTGACAATGATGGTTCTCGTGACATACAGCACCAGCTTTTAAGAGTACCTCTCGGAGCATTTTCTGCTCTCTCTCCTTCTGTTTCTTCATCCTTGGTCGTGCCACCTTTAAAGGCAATTTCTGCTGTGCAGGGGCCTGCATAAGGAACAAAGAACAGTATGAAATTTTTTTGCCAGGTCTCCTAAGTTTACATTGTTTTGCAGCACATGATGCAGCAAACATTTACTCCATCACCTTTCCGCCAAGAGAAGCAACCTTCCTATCGTCAATCTTTTTACGTTCTTTCCATGACATATGCGAGTAGCCTGAAACAAATAGCGTAAGTTGGCATCATCAAGAGCAACATCAATATGAAACTCGATGGACAGGGTTCAACAGGAATCATATACGACAGAAACAACTGTTTTGAATCCATAAATTTCTAGACCCAGACACACCTTCACTTACTATCATGCAAACATCTCAAAACCCAATCATGATGAAAAATGTGGCACATACGTACAAAATACCATGGTTGGTGCAACTTCCTAAGCCCACATATTCTTCCAATACGTCCAATGCTCACGTTTTACATTAAAATGTTGATGAGACCCACACTAATAGTGTTATTAAAATGATAAAATTCCGGCAGAGCGTAAGTCTAGTCATAAAGCTACAAAGACATTAAGCTTAAGTGACAAAACTGACACACATACTCATTGATTCTCTAGCATTCGAGAGGCTAGAGTCTCTCCCTCACAATACTCACCAATTGCCTATCCTCTCACTAAGCCCTTCTTCCCAATTATATACACCGCACAGTCCTTCTGTATTTCTACTCCTCTCTCACAAACTACGCACACTCCACATGACTTGTCCTTCCCTCCTTGGCCCATTAGCTACAAGTCCATCCAATGCTACATCAGCTTCTCAAATATGCACATCCTTTGTTCTTCCTTAAAAAGCTCAGAACATCGTTCTCCTTGTAGATATATCCTCATCCTCCCCATCATCTCTCTGAATAGGCGTTTGAGTTTAGACGCAGTAAACGTTTGTTCTAAGGAGCTTTGCATTCAATGTCATCTAGCAGACCAAACCAATATCCTTCGCTATTGGTAATTGTGCCACCAAAGCATTCAAAGAGGGCATTAGAGCAGCAAATGTTACTATCAACAAGCACCATCGCCAGTAATATGTCTTGCAGGTGATTTCCTTATAGCAGGCAAAGAGAGCTGACAAATTGGACAAAATAATTTTGAAGACAGCCTCTTTGATTGAGTGTCCTCGCATAAGAGCCACTATAATTTTCACCTTTAACATTGTTTTAAAAGATCAACAGATTTTTTCCCTCTCTAACAAAGGATTCCAGCAACTAGGGCACAAAGAGAAGATGCACATAGTGAACCACCAGCAATTCTGTAGAAATCCATAACAAAAAATAACAGCTTTCTAGGTACGTGAACGAATGAAGAATTCCAACAAAAGTATTGTAACTTTCAAAATTATCATGAAAAACCCAGGTGCAAAATCTTCCTCCAGCTCACAGCTTTGCTACAGCCTCAAAAGGGGGCATTCAAAATCCGAAGCACAAGGAGGAAGATGGAATCCGGGGCTTGAGTAAGTTTGGTAAAGGTGCAAGATGGAGATGGAAATGAGATATCCCAGTGATGAAGAAGCAGGAAGGTGAAATCTGGAAACTAGGGAAGGGAAAAAAATACTGGGTTTTTCTTAACTTTCGAAGGGAGGAGAAACAAAATGTGCTTTTTGATTGGGAAGAGAAATTACCAAATGACGCAGGATGTCATGTGCCACATGGCTCCATTAAATCTAACGTGGCAGTTTCCATTTTAACAGTTAGACTAATAGTTGGAGGTCCTTTACGGACAAATGGAAGGAAAGTTTATTGCCAACCAAAAGGATCGTTCTTCACACATCATCAGAAGGTTTGGGAGGTTATGCATATTTTAGCCAAACAAAAGAAAAGGAAAAAAAAATATCGACAATGTTAAAATTGGAATCTTAAAGAGTATCATGTTTGTTAGTTACCCAATATATATAGTTTGAGCTGCAATAGAGCAAACCAAAGAAATCAAGACCCAAATATTTAAATTACATGACCAAGAATACAAGCATCCACAATTTTGTCTAGGCTGAACTCTAATTTTTTTTTTACAATGGAAAAGGCAAGCAAAAGCTTGAAAAGGAGGAGAACAAGACTCCTACAAAGACCTGAAGTCAGACAAAAAATTTTGTCTTCCAAAAACATCTTCCTGCATCCATCAGGAATCTCCCATCTCAGCTCCATCCCCGTTGATCCTATATGTCCTTCTCGGGCCATGTAGTCCGCACACTTAATATGGGTCCGATTTGTGTGATGAATCTGAACATTTCTCTCCCCGAAAGCCATGTCCCTTATCCCAGTTATGAGGTCTCTCTGCGGATGCTCCCCGATATAGTCCCTCATAAGTAAGTCAACCGCTTCAATAGAGTCTGTGAACACCAAAACCTGGTCAGCTGAGAGGTCTCTTCCTAGCTGGAGTCCCGCATGTATTGCCTGTAATTTTGCCTCCAGAGAGCATATACCTAAATTCTTGTGGAAACCCATGATCCAGTCAGCATTTGAGTCTCTGATGACTCCACCGCACGCCGCTTGTTGATGCGTCCAAACAGAGCCGTCCACATCAATTCGGATAGCATTTACTGGTGGTGGTGTCCAGTGTTCCTCACTGTAACCTGGCTTGCCGAATACTTGATGCTTAAACTCATTGTTGATGACGCCTTCCATCAGCATGTAGTAACATTTATGTAGCATTTCCTTCGGTGATGATGTATGCCCTTCAAAAACAAGCTTGCACCATGTTGTCCAAAGTAGCCAGCAGGGTAAACTAAAGACTTGCATCCAAGAACATTTGCTAACACTTCCTCTGCCCGGATTATGAGAAGCGTTCCAGTTAAGCCAAACCTGCAAGGAACCAATATAAAAACTAGAAAAACAGTTAGGGTGAATAATAAGCTTCCAAAAATCTTTTGCTCTCTCACAATCTCTCAAAACGTGTATGACACTCTCCTCTCTTTGACACTCGAAAGGACAGCCATTTGATTGGGTTAGTCCTCTCTTGGCTCTCAAGGCATTTGTAACAAGTCTCTCATGGGACACATGCCACATAAACGTTTTAACCTTCTCCGGTATCTGCCATTTCCAAAGTCCACTCCAAATATTGTTGTTCGGGTATTCTCTGTCCTGTCTAACAAAGAGATACGCTGCTTTGACAGTGAACATACCCTCTTTTCCGTTTCTCCATATAAAACCGTCCTCTCTCCCCCCAGTTGGAGGTGATATTCTGCTCAAAATGTGAGTGACACACTCTGGAAATATTGTTCTCCAGTACTCAACATTCCATCTTCCACAAGGTAGGAGATGATCACTCACTTTATCATGGCTATTAATGCTCGCCTCCCCCTGAACAAAGTCAATTAAAGGGCGGTCTAGTGGGTGCCAAAACTCCCACTAGAAGCTAGTCTTTTCCCCATTATTAATTTTCCTACCTACACCTTTGAGGAATTTTTCCCAGACACGACAAATGGATCTCCAGGTGTGAGACGCTTTTCTCTTCATCATTACCAACGGCATCTCACTATTCCCACAGCAATATTTAGATCTTAAACACTTGACCCAAAGTTTCTCAGGCCTGGTCAAAAGGAACCAACAAAGTTTCATCACAAAAGCAACATTTTGACATTTAAGGTCTTTAATACCCAGGCCCCCAAATCTTTTTGGTCGTTTAATTGTTTCCCAGGCAATTAGGTATACCTTCCTGAGTTCTTCATCTTGGCTCCACAAAAAGCTTCTACTGAGTTTCTCAATTTCCTCCAGAATCCCAAGTGGAAGAATTGAAGATTGCATCTGATAGGTAGGAAGAGCAACCATAGCTGACTTAATGAGCACGGACCTTCCAGCAAAGGTTAAAAATTGCTCCTTCCATAAAGAGAGTTTCCTTTTCACTTTCTGTACTAGGGGAGCATACGTTGCTTTGGTGACTCTGGTATGAAATAGAGGCACTCCCAAATATTTACCCAAATCAGTGGTTACCGCCACACCCAAGGACTGGCTTAGTTCTACTTTCCTGTTGAAGTGTATGGAATTGGAGCAGAACATCTTAGACTTTTCTAGATTTACTCTATGCCCGGAAACTAAGCAGAAGGATCCCAACACTCGCCTAACTAGCTCCATCTGTCTCGAGTTTGCTTCTGTAAAGAGTACCAGGTCGTCCGCAAAGAAAAGATGTGACAGTGATGGCCCATCTTTCTTAAACCTAAGTGGCTTCCATCGCTTTGCAGCACACTCCTCTTTAATCTGATGTCCCAACCCTTCCATACAAAGGACAAATATGTATGGGCTAAGGGGATCTCCTTGACGCACCCCACGTGTCGGAAAGAATTCATTGCTAGCCTCCCCATTCCATAATATCCTCGTCGAGGCTGTAGAAATAGAAGCCATAATAACTTCGATGATATGCTGTGCAATTCCCAAGCACTGCAGTGTGTGGCGGATAAATTCCCAATCCAACCTATCGTACGCCTTCTCCATATCAACTTTGATGGCTACATAGCCCTTCTTCTTTTTGCTTGTTCGTAAAGTGTGAATGGCTTCCTGTGCTAGGATTATATTATCACAGCTAGACCGGCAAGCAATAAAGCTACATTGCTCATCGCTAATCAGCTTGTCCATGATCCTTCTAAAACGATTTGCAAGGAGTTTAGTAATGATCTTCAAGCTGACATTGCAGAGTGAAATAGGTCGCAACTCCTTAAGACAAGTGGGGTGATCCATTTTGGGGATAAGAACTATATTTTTCTGGTTGATCTCTCCCATATGTTGTGGATAGCGAAACAGGTACTCCACTTTTTCACAGATTTGATCCCCAATAATGTCGCATTGGGATTGAAAAAAGTGAGGCTGCAAACCATCTGGGCCTGGTGCTTTCAAGGCCCCTATTGCAAATGCTGCATTTTAATCTCCACACGATCTACACCTCTTGATAGCCATGTTATTTCTGTTTCATTTAGCCTGGGAAACTTGGCGATCCAATTTGAGGGGCTGGTCGTATTTTCATCTTTTGTATAGAGGTTTTTGTAGAATTCACATGTCATCTGCTTAAGTGTGTCAGGATCCTCAACCCAGTTCCCGTTATCATCTCGCAGAGCATTCACATATTGAGACCTCTTTTTGATGGTTGCCGATGCATGGAAAAATTTTGTATTTTTATCTCCCCATTGAAGCCACTTGCATCAGGATTTTTGAAACCAGTCTAATTCTTCTTGTGCTG